ATGTGAAATAAATTTAAGGGCACGTTTTTCTCGTCACGTCTTTGGATGATCACAACGGTTGTCAAAATCGTTTTTTTTTTTCGAGAAAGAAATAATACAAATTATCCTCAACGCACACTTTTTAAAATATAATCGGTTATATTTTTTATATATTTTTTAAAATGAAACACCGGATTATCATGAAATTAGGAAAACATTTTTTTCTCAAATCAAAAATATCCAGGTACTTTGTATATATTATATACAGGGTGTTTCTGAAATAAGTGCATTCCTTGAAAAGAGTGATGAAGGGCACGAGAGTAAGCAACTTTTATTAAGCAACAGATTGCGTTTTAAATTGAAAAAAAAAATCACATGAAGGTTTCAACAAGTTTAATACCTTCCCAAATGCGGCAGCAAGCTGTACCTTTGACATCGAAGCTGCCGCGCGCCGCAGTACGAAAGCGCTCTTGGAGATATTGACGGTATTTTGTTCGAAAATGTTAAAATTTATTCAAATCTCCTTTAAAAGTAACACAAAAATTAAACGAAATATAATCTACAAAAATTGTTCAAAGTTGTTTCCATGTGCTAATAAATATGCTTTCAAACGACAGTCAAAATTAGTAAGCGGACGTGGAAATACGCAAAATGGCATTCCCCGTGCGTACATTAACACTTACTGCAACGCACGTGCACAAGATGCACAGGGTCGGCTTACGTCTATGGTTAATATTCTTAATAGATTTTCTTGAAAATAGCAGTATTTAGGGCATCAGTGGCTTAATAAAAGTTGTTCATTTGCATGTCTATCACCCTTTTCAAGAAACATACTTATGTTTCTGAAACCCCGTATAATATAAATGCAGAGCCTTCATATTCAAAGCGATCGCTGATTGATTGAATAAAATCTCGTGAACAATTAGATATATACACCAACCACCAGCCGGCAAAACAGAATGTTGTGTTTTAATGTAATCACTGTTTCAAACAAAATTACTTGTGATCATTTATCAAGAATCTGTACCTTAGATGTTTAAAATTTCTCGCCTTATAAAATGCCATATTATGTTTCTTTTTAACCTCAGTTTTTAACATCGTACCGCCCTCATTTCAGATTGATAGTATTCTTGATTCGTGTACTCTTTGAATATTATTATTTAGGTTCAAGTAATCACGGATTTAAACAAAGTATTCACTACCTAGGTATTCATAGATTGAATATTTTGTCTGTATTCATACCCACTCTGTTCACAAGCGAAACAGAAGCTAGGCCGAAGCGGGGCGTCCTTTTTCTCACATCCACCCTACGCTAAGGATAAACCCACCGTATATTCCCCTGTTTCTAGTAATATTTACTTTGTGCCGTAATAACCTCGATAAAAAAAAGAGAAAAGCGCAAGAAACCGAATCTTAGCTCTTCCTGGAGGCTCCTTGACTGGGCATGGCATCTGGCAGCGGTGGCACGGCAATATTTCAGGGATAATATCCACCTGACAGGCCGCGCATGAAATATGAAAACGGAGTTCTGGCGGTGTATAACGAGGATCGGCCGCTGCCTCCCCGGTGCAGGTAGAACATAAGTTTGTCTGGGTTAAAATCTGGACACTCCAGAGATAACCCGTCGGGTGCTCAATAAGTTATGGCCTCGCGGGAAATCATCAGGACTCCCTCCGTACCCGAATGTCTTAACGGGGATTTAATTTAAAATTGCCGGTCTAAAAATGCAGCTATTCACTGTGAACGTTCAATGGAAATGTCTAAATGTATTTAACAATTAACTATATTGGATTTTTCAGGTCGAATCAGACAATCTTAAAATTTGAGCTCAAATTTTAACTGAAGCCAAAAAAATGTGCTGAAAAGGAATGATTAATTTTCACATGAGAGTATTGAAATGATAAGAAACAATCTCAACACATATTTTTTTAATTATGCATTAATATCAGCATTTGTATTTTTACTTTACTTAAAGGAAACAAGATATTCTCATATGATGAATTTATATGTGTATCCTCTTTGACATCCAAGGTATGCCAAAAAGCAACCTCAAAGACAACTTTATTAATTAATTACTGATGAAACAGTAACTAATTAATGACAATAAAACTCGATTACTCGGACTATTCGGTTAAATTAAAAAACTAGAAACCAAAGAACTACTACTAAAAAAAATTAGATTCGAGTTGAATTAGCTTAATATTTTTTAAGATAATGTAAAAAATCTCTCCAGATAAATAACATCATATGGTGGCCTCAGATTTTAATTCGACATTGCGGTTCCGAGAAATTGTCATAATTTCTTCTGTAGTTTTCCTTTCTCTTGCATTTATTTGAAATGTTATTTAGTAATTTACTTGAAAATCTGCGACTACTGTGGATTTTCTTGCAAAACCTTGCTGTAAGGAAGTTGTTAGTTACAGATTCTTCTGCGATCGCCATTAAGTTAATACCTCAATTGTCTACAACATCTCCTGTTTAACCGTTTTATACTTCTTACAGTATCCGAGATCCCAATACATACATCTCTTAAATGGGTCACCTGGTATATTACCCCAACTAAAATATGAATATGTTGATTATACTTACATGTAATTAACGCATAAGTTTGCCATCTATAAAAAGAAATCTTACGGATTTACTTCCAACAACATATTTTCAGTAAGCCTTTATTATTTCAGCAGAGACACTCTTTCATTTTGAAGTCCTTTGTCTCAAAGGCAAATTTTGTTTACTAAAAATCGCATATTAAAATATGCAAATAGGTATTTTCTTAAGCATTAATTGCTTTAATGCCATTCCGGATTTTAAAGATTGTTTTAGGAAACAATTTCGTTACTGACAAAATAAATAACAAAACAACTTTTGATGAAGTTCCTCTGCTTCCTTATCCTAGGACAAACAAATCATTTAAGTTCGTATGGTTTTCTGTTGTACTTTAGAAATTACAGAAGCTTTTGGTTAAATAGTTTTAGCGCTAGTCGACATGTTATCAATTTAGATTTCTTGACGTTTCGAGAGACATATCGCACTCGTCTTCAGAAGAAACTCTGAAACGAATAGTGGGAACTGAGGCCTTTGGCCGATATTTACATTTGCTGTGAGCACTAGTTCATGACGTTCTAGTGTGCTGTTCCTATGCATCCTACATTCTTGCTTTCACCTTTGACATGATGTTTCTCTGAATGAAAAAAGTACCTTAAAAAAGAGTCAAACAAACTTGTGAGAGCTAATAATAGAATATATTGAGATGAAATTAGATTGGAGAGAGAGAGAGCAATTTAAAAGTTTAATTAAAATTCTATTTAAGTAAATACAACACAGTAAAGAGAAAGGTTGCAATAATTGTAATAAAATTAAGAAAAATATTTGATTAAAAAAATTTGTTAGTATTAAATAAATATTATGAATCATTAGCAGAGAGTCGGATTACTAGAACAGAATAAATTTCAAGAATTCAAGTATAAAATTATTATTATTTTGGTCATGCCAAAGATGTTATTAGAAAAACATAATTAAAATTAATTAGATAATCGCAAGTGTAGTGTAGTTATAATATGAGTTAGAATAATAAGTAGTAAAAGATATTAAGGTCTAAAGAAAAATTTGTATATCAATAAGATGAAAATGTCAGGTAAATGTCAAAATTAAAGTTGGATCCACAAGGCATAAAATAGTACATATAAAAGTCAAATAAAATTATAGAATAAGAAATATTTTGAAACATAATTTAAAAATTTTTGTAAAGAAACTAGAATAGGTTGTATATTTGTAAAGGATAAAGTGAAGTGACGTGAAATGTAAAAGGAAAACGGCATTTAAAAAGCAAAGGCATATATGTGGAAAGGCCCTAACAAGGATGAAGAAAATCAAGAGAGTAAGAAAGAAAAAAATAAAATGATTATTGATTAGTTACCAGAAAAATTTGTCAAAGAAAGAGGTGTTGCCGAAATTAATTGATAAAACCAGATAAAGTAGAAGCAGTTATCGTGAGAGAGTGTATAAAAGAAGCAAATTGGGAAAAATCAAATATATAAAAGTAAAAAGTTTTGGAAAAGTGACTCAAGAAGAATCCAGGGAGAGCGGAATACCAGCAAGCAGGTTCCAGGAAGCCAGTAAGAGCGGAATAGCAGCAGCAGGTTCCAGGAATCCATAGAGAAAGCGGAATAGCAGCAGCAGGTTCCAGGAATCCAGAGAGAAAGCGGAATAGTGTTTGACATTCCTTATTTGAATTTTATTGCTATATAAAAAAATAATAATAAATTAATTTATTAATAACATCTTTTGTTTAGTGTGGTGAGTTGTGTGTGGTTTCATGCTGAGTAATACCTTCATTTGAACCTACTACTGAGAAGGGTCGAGAGCTAGACAGGGCAAAGTTAGACAACCAACATTACACCAAAACAGTTATACAAACAAATTTCAAGTCACTATAAAAAAACAAAATATTTTGGCGCTTACACAAACACGAATTCAGAATCATAACAATATGTATTTATGAAAGACTACATTAACTTAATATTGAAACTGAATAAAAATGTTTTTGGATAAAATCTGAAGATAATTTTAAACAGTTGATGTAAAAATGAAACAGTTTCCTTTTAATTTTCTATCTCGTTTTTATTTTCAAGGTACTGTAGTTTATATAAAAATCTCACCTCTTATTATCATCAAAGTTTAGAGTATGCGAGAAAATTTCATTCGTCGTTCAATTTTCCCACTTGTGCATTTTTAGATGAAATATAATAAAAATATCCGAACTTCTCACGCCTCCTTCTCAACTTTTCGACATTTTTCTGAAAAGTTAGTCAGTTCCAGGGGATCAGACCGGTGCGAGGTATTACTAGAAGTTTATCTTGGAAGTACGTGAGTTGGTTGAAGGAATAGAACATATCCGTAGATTTGGGCGACTTTGCTGTAATCCTTTTATTTAAGATTAAGACTTCCTGCGAGTAAATAAAGAATCGCTCAACCGCCACGCCCGAAACGTTACCGAAACAAATCCGGAGTAAATCACTTACCCAACACATTTGCTCCGGCTTAACTGCTCCACTTGCACCTGCAACAACACAATACTTTAAATATTCTCTCACAGCACTTTTCGGGGAATAATGATGTAAGGCTCCGTCAAAAAATGAGTGGAATACTTGAACAGAAAGGTATATTTCCAATTTAGTCATACAGTGAAATACATGCATTATTAAATTAATGAACATTTATTTCAAGTAAAATTATGCGTAATGAAAAAAATATATACTTATTAATAATTTTTAAATGTATATTATTGCATTTTTGAACTCGTCAAATTTAGAGCCTGCTTTGATAAAAAAATCCTATAGATCTAAATCATACCATTTCTACGTTATTTGATATTGTCCAAAAGTTTATAACATCCTTAAAATTGTTGGATATCTCCGAAACTGAACATGATCACAAGATGCCATTCTTTATTTAGATCAAATTACTTTAATACAGTTTCCTTACTTCCTTAAAAATTAAGGATTTTCAAACAACATTTTTTTATTTGCGCATGTTTCTTGCTTGCTAGACAATGCATCACTCTAGAAAGAAAATGGATTTCCATTTTCCACTGCACAGCTGAGAATTTGGGATCATTTTTTTGTCAAATCTGGGTGTTTTTTAAGTACGTAGCCAAACTTCAAGAGGTGATTCTTTGAGTCATTCTGAGACGAAAACTTCATATAAACATTGGTCCGCAGATGTTTCGTTTTCAAGGTACAGGGTATTCAACTTTTTTTAAAAAATCGTTTTTTCGTAAAAATCTTAATCTTTTAGCCAATTTTATTGAAATGCCTCCCGGGGCACCACTGGACTTAATAATTTTAATCTAGTTAGGTCTAAATTATCCCCATTCTAAAATAAATAACACTGCCAAATTTCAACAAAATCGGCCGAAGTATTAAGATCTTTACGAAAAAACGATGTTTTAAAAAAATTTGACACCCTATATCTTAAACCGAGGCGTTATCGGACCTATGTTTATATAAACTTTTCGTTTTATAATCACTCAAAGAATTACACCTTAAAGTTTGGCCGCCTACTTAAATAACACCCTATATTTCATATTTTTGTCTAATTAAGTTGATTCAAATTACTTTACCCTGTACTTTCTACTCTCTACTATATTTGAGGGTCAGTTCAAATGTCAATGTCTAATGATATATAACCCCTTGAATGTAATTGTTTATTCAAGAATATTCAATATTGTAGCCACATATAGAGAGAAAAATCAAGAATTTACTTAAAACAAAAATTTCAAAATAATTTCATGACCTGTAAAAAAATATTTTTTCTCTATGTACGTATCAGGCATGTACGTAATTTTTCTGACTTAAATGATACAATTAATACAGCAGTATGATACAAAATTTACTATTGTCATGTTTTATTTTAGTATTTTTTAAACTGTTTCATGATTTATTACACATTGGTTATGGTTTTAGATATTGATGCTATCGAATCAGGTTATATTTATGTATCAGAAGTCCATTTCAACGAAAGATGTACAAACGACAGACATGCCACAAAATGGTATCCGATTCTTGGCAAGGGGTTTCACCGAGAAACTTATCGATGGGGCTTGGATTAAAAAGGAATTTAGTGTAGTCTACCCTTTTCGACCTCCTTTTACCCACATCTAAACTCCTGTTAATATGAACAGAAACTTTCGATAAAATCCTTTCTTCAATGAACCAACTTGGCGCAATACCAAAGTAATAATTATTTATGCGTACTTGACTAAAGCGACATAATTATGAAAATAAGTTTTTGAAGGACAAAACTGGTAGTATTGCAGGAAACAACTACTTAGCCAAGTAACCTGAATAGTTTCCTGCAATATCCTGATCTTTTTAAAGTTTTTGGTGTTAAAAGCACACCCATTTTAGCTAAACAAATAATTCTGTTTTCTAAATCTACCTCTTGCTGTTCATTCAAAACTTGAATACATCCTAGTTTTCTTTAGGAAATAGCAAATGATTGCGACTGCGAAGGATTTTCCTTCTTTCGGCAATTGTAAAGCTCCATCATAATTTCAGAATTCCAGTTGACCTTTATATTGCCATACTTTTTTTGCTATTTTCTGAAATAAATAGTTACCTTTTGATAATTTACTGAATATATAAGTCAACGATCTTATTTATTTTTTCGCCTTTTTCACTGTAGTACACTTTCGTGATGACACGAATTTGAAGGCTTTCAATTGAGCCCAGTTGCACTGAATTGATTTGTAGACATTTTCAGTATCAACACTCTAGTGTATCACTGTCCTTTTAGGCTCTGCCTTGCCTAGTACTGGTTTGGTGTCTCCTATAAGTACCTGAAGATTTGGAAAATTTTGAGAGTTTGTAGACCTCCTGTGAGTAGGTATCTATGAATTTGAAGGCTTTTAGAAGCTTATTTTATTCCTTGGGATCTTTACTACAGAACTGCAGAATGTCTGGGTGACTGAAGTTCTAGAGTTGAGGGAGCAGCAGGGAGCAATGTTCTAGCAAAATGTTTTGAAATTTTTAACAAACATTCGATTTATAAAAACTTGGGAATTATTAAAATATATATTTTTTAAATAAATGAGTATTTGATTGGTAATTGAGTGTATATAATGCAATTAGAAATTTTGAGTCGACTACACCTGGTTCGTCTCCTCAAGGTACCAAGGTCGACGTTCGATCCCCTTCCTTGATGGGTCCGCAGAAATCCCGTAACAAAGTCCACTTTATGTTTGAACAATTGGCCTCTCTGGATTTTGCCCACCTTTGGACTGTAGTCGCCTAGAACGGATGATGTACTCGTAGGTGGTAACGTGGATCTGTATCGCAGTTTCCCTGATTTGTACAAATCATCATTTGAAATTGAAAAATATTAGACTTAATCTATTTCAGAGTATTTTAAATTACTTATTGCTTGAAATTATTAGCAGAATTTGTTAAATATATTGCTACAATCTTCACGACACATTATTGATAGTGAATAAATAAATTATATCATACATTTTCCTTTGTGGCATTCCCACTATATCGAGATCGCCGTATCCGCGTTATTTTTCCTGGAGGAACCCAATTCTTCAAAGCATACTGCAACAGTATTTATTCATAATATCACTTAGCGAAGAAAAACAAAAGAGCGGGCGAAGGCAGCGCAAGCTTGACTTTTGGGTTTCGAGCCTTTGATGGTAACAGCGCTCCTAATTTTCTTATTCCTATTGACATTCAAAACATTCAAAATTCAATTCATAAGTTTGCCTGCGCTTCACCGGGCTTTTTAGGAAGCCTTTCGGCTTCTCTTCTGTATCGACAAAGCAATCAACTCGGGCAACCGGCACCAGAGGCGGAGATTGGCGAAGGGAGAAAAAGAATTTACATAAGTGCTTTTCTCGAAACCAGAAATAACAGATCCAAACTTCAGCTATAGCTTTTCAATTTGCTTACATTAAGACGTTTCACAGGGCGTTCCACAAATTAATTCTATGATAAGGGTAATGGAGGGCGTAGAAACTAACACCAGGTTTAAAAACTACTCGATAAAGTAGAGAAAAGGGAATACAAAATTTAGAGGCATTCTGAAAGTGTCAACTTAACCTTGAAGTTGTATTTTTACTAAATAATAATTTATCTGTATCAAATTTCCTAGCATTTTAAAATCATATTTAATTATACAAAGTGTTTTTATTTATTTTAACGTTTTTAATTTATTGAAATGGTAATTACGGGCATTAGAATCAGAACAGTCTAAAGATATTTTCTCTGTCCCCTTCCAGGCACTGAGACGTATTAAGAGACAAGCTCAAATATACGGATTTACACGGGAAAATCTGTTTATGTCACCCGCCATTATATATCTGCGGATGCAAATAAGTCCCGCGATGCAATAATAAAATGATGAGCCAAAAATCCGGTTCCACGCCAGATGTTGCTCTAAAGGTGAAATGTAAGTAATAAAACCAAATATTTCCCGTCTGGTTTCTGTTTACGGTGATTTAGATAAAGGATACTGGGGTTTCGTCGCATTTTACTATTTTACGAAATATTCCACTGATTCAGTCATGCGAAAATGCATACTTCTAACGTCAGTATACAATGTTAATTATTACTAAAACAGAATAATTAAAAAACTAAAGTACTGTGCACGTACCATAAAATAATACTGCTGTGTACTAATTGCAAGTTGCATATACGATAAAATGTAATGTCCTTTATCTTTTCTCTTTTGTTGGCAATAGTAATGTTACCTACTCTTTCTTTCTTTCTACTCTTTCTATTCTCTTTCTATGCTTACAGTCTTGTTGTTATATTAAGTTGTCAATATGCAGGGTGTTCCACTTTTTTAACATGACACTATCAGTCCCAGGCCTGATAAAATGTGAGAGAAAAGTGGTTTTGCAAGGCCTTCTTGACGCTGTTACATAGCTACGTTTTCGTACTTTAGAGAAAACCTTATTTGTCTGGAAAACTGTTAAAGATAAGTATAGACAACCTTATATCAGTCGAATGGGCATTCAAATTTGCATTTACCCATGACAATTTATATGGGTCATTCTATTTGAAAAAAAAAAGATTTTTCAAAAACAACTGATTATCTCTAAAACGGTAAGTTTTGAACACCATGAACATTTAATAAACTCTGCCTAATATGCCTGTAAAGCTAAAACCATTTTCTTTAATGATTCCAGACAACTTTTATTAAAATAATTTTTTAAATAAAAAATAGACACACTGAATATAATCTTCTATCATGGGCCTTCCTTTGGGGAGAGAAAAAATCTCGTTATGGGAATCTGAATGGGATTGAAAAAGGGACACTTTAAATACAGTTATACATAATTTAACAAGTGAAAAGCATAATATGTATTTTTTGGAATACGTGTAATATGAGAAAAAAATTTAGAAGAAAAACTGTTTTAAATGACCATGGTTTTTTGGGTTTTTAGATCGTGGCCAGGTCACTGCCAGCTATAGACGCTAGCTTTAGCTACAAACCTTGCCTTGAACTATGCTCTTTGGAGGCAGCTTTATAAGACAAAATAACAACTACGAGCTCATT